GAGACCAAAGAGGCTTGAATTGTATCTGTAATGTTTTATTCTCAAATAAATACATGAATTATCAGATTCAAATATGACAAAGTATTAAAATGCTATATCCAGTATTATATTCCTTTTATGTACTATCATTTTATTAATTTAAAAAAGGGAGGGGGGAGAAAAGCAGGTCCAGAAATGTTAATTCACCTTCCCAAGATCACGGTCCTTGAGGAAATATAGCCTTGGCTTTCCTTTTTTTTTTTTTTTCATCAACAAGGACAGAGCCTGGCAAGTGGCATAGGTGTTGGAAAATAAGCAAGAAGAGCTATAGGATAGTTCCTGGAAGGAAGGGCCTTCTATTAAAGGCCACCATTTAACAGGGTGGCGCAGGGCTGCATTTGGCATCCAGGGCTCTGTTCCAGCTGTAAAGAGGCCAAATCCCAAGAGAAGCAGAGGCTGTGACCTAAGGAAAGTTAGAGATCATCTAGTTCAACTGTCTTCATTTCCAAATTCAGAACCAGAGACGTACTGGCTTGCTCCAAGTGATATCATCAGTGGGTGGTTGACTCCACATCTAAAGCTATGTCAATTATACCAAGCGCTCCAAAGTTTGGTCAAGAAATAGCAGACCCTTCTTGGGCATGATGATGGTGATGTTGCCAATGCTACTGATAATGAGAGTGAAAACAAGATGGTGGTGGTGCTGATGATACCAGCTAACTTTTTTTGAGCATAATTTAAATTCTAGACACTCAAATGCTTTATAACAATCCCCTTGATTATTCCCTTCAAAAACGAAACAAACAAACAAACAAACAAAGTTAGGTACAACCATCACCACCATTTCTGATTAAAGGAGAACCTTTCAGGGTCTCGTAATTTGTAGATGACAAAGTGGTTCCCAACCCAGGCAGTCTGACTTCTGGGCTGGAACTCTTCATCACAGGCTGTGCTGGAGACTCAAATATCAGGGGAAGGGGACAGGGCCAAGTGGGAGCTCAGCCCCATCCCAGTCAGGTTGTGCTTACTCTTAGGTTTTTCCATCTTATTGCAGATACACAGCATGGGTGTGGCTTAGAACTTGACACCATCTGATGCCCATGTGGATTCTGCGTGGTTTCAAGTCAGATGGAGAGAGCTCGAAGCCACAGTAAGCATGTGGTAGACTGACTCATGAGTTACTGGACTATCCCTGCAATAATTTCTCTTAAAAACAACTTTAATTTTCCCGTACATAAGGAAAGAGTCCTTCTGTAAACAGTACAACATTTTGCCCTCTCTCAGGTATGGAAAAACCATTACCCCGGGGCAGGGGGGAAAGTAGTGCTTGAGCCAAGAAATACTGAATAATCTGCTTCACATCAACGAAAGTGAAAGCAATCCGTGACCTCAATTTCTCTGCTAAAGAGATGCTACTAGTTAATGGATGGTAATAATATAAATTACGAGATGGCTAGATCTAGGACTCTACTGTCTGTGTACAACAAGGAAATGGAGCTTGTTCCTTCTAGAGGCAGAACTCTAGAGTAGAGTTCTGAAGTCGGAGTACTGAGCTCACATTCCAGCTCTGTCATTCAACCATCTACTGTGCGCTTCACCAATACTCGTATTAAGCATTCTGAAATTTAAAAAGTATGGTCAAGGATTCATGTCAAAATTAACCAATTTATCAATATTTTAGTGGTATGATGAACATCCTCAGGAAAATAAAGCAACAATTCCCAGTACATGTAAATTTTATGTGTGAGACAACAATCTGAAATGCTGTGTTATGTACGCACAGAGAACTCTATGTAATCTGTCTTCCAAGGATAAAAATTACATGATTTGCAAAGAAGCATAGATATTACCCAAAAGGATACACACAGTGCCCAGAGGACTTTCTGTCTCAAAGTAACATCTGTTTTTAAGGTTTTCAGAGGGAAATAAGTGAAGCAAATCTATCTGTGAAAAGTTAGAATTTCTTGTGTCAAACATTGAAACTCAAAGATAAAAAAAAACCACATAGATACTCTGAGTGAAAAACAGGTTACATACATAGGACATCAAAACATTTAAAACAAAAATCAAAACAAGGAAATAACCAAGAAGGGTTAACCTTTTAAGCTTCCTTCATTTGATTCTAGATACAGGGTTTTAAGAAGACATAACTGATAGAAATCACAAAATGGCAGCTCACAGCTCAAATCATTTGCAGAAATGTTTGTTGGGTTGTTTTTTTTTTGCTTGCAGAGCTTTTTTTCAAAAATCAAGTCACAAAATCACATTTCATTTCTCTTTTCAAAACCTTTTTCTGCTAAAAAAAAAAAAAAATGCCTAGCAAAGTGCTGGAGCTCAGGAATTGCTGTCCTCTTCACAGAAGGGTTTCTAGTTTGCCACCTTACCTTATTTATTTACATTACCAGCCTGCCCCCTGTAGACAAGCAAGTTCATAATCCCTTACCTACTGCCAAACAGATCCAAGCAGACAAGATCCAAGCAAGAAGGGAATGCCTGATTGGGCTACATTAGAGAGGTTCATTTGTTTGTTTGTTTGTTCGTTCATTCATTCATTCATTCACTCATTCATTCACTGATTCAACAATTACATGCTGAGTATCTGAAAAGTGCCAGATACTGAGCTCCTATAAGAATGTAAGTATTTGGACTTCTCATCAAGGTGACAGGCAACCATAGATCTCAGTGTCTGTCAAAATGTATGTAATAGAAAGAGTTGAGGACAAAACAGTGATGAATTTTAGGAAATCGAATGAGAAATTCTAAGAAGTGCTAACAGTTGCAAGGGACCCAAAGGAAGGGGAATTTGAAGAAAGAAAGGGTGGGGGTGCCTGGGTGGCTCAGTCAGTTAAGCGCCTGCCTTTGGCTCTGGTCATGATCCCAGAGTGCTGGGATTGAGCCCCGACTGGGGCTCCCTGCTCAGTAGGGAGTCTGCTGCTCCCTCTGCCGCTACCCCCTGCTTGTGTGTTCTCTCTCTCTCTCTCTCAAATAAAGAAGGAAGGAAGGAAGGAAGGAAGGAAGGAAGGAAGGAAGGAAGGAAGGAAGGGGTGGTCAGCAGGGTAAAACTCTGGCTGAGAAGAAGACAGAAAAGGAAGGGCAGTCTCTGTTGCAAGTTGCAAATCCCCAGTGACATTTCAGAGGGTACTTAGAGTAGGCTGGTAAAGCCAGGGGGAGCAGCGAGAATATAAGGGCAGAGGGCACAAGAAAGACATTGCTGGGGGAAGGATGGGGCCCCAGGGAAAACGGGGGAGTGGGAAGGTGGGGGCGGGGGGGGTGGAGTGAGGAGCCAGCCGGAGCAGAGTACCGAGCACGTACAAGAGAGAGTTGGGGCACCAGACACTTCACGGGAATAGCCATATGCCAGAATGAATTCAATCTAGATGGAACACCATTATATTCTGACACCAGAGAAAAGCTGGTAACTTTTCCATGAACTATATACTCACAGTCACTTCTTAAGAACTTCTAGACACATTCTAGGAAGGGGTTTTCACCATAAAAGCTTTCTTTAATAGGCACCCAAATTCAGTGGCAATAAGCTACAAAAGAAAATCTGTCCATTTTCAATCATGTTTTATTTTCTGGCGTTCGACGTGCGATCTCAATCAGAAATGACTGAAAATATTTGTTTCTTTGGCTTTGTTGGAAATGACATATTTCACACAGGCAGTTAATCTTGGACCAATGGAATCAGGAGGCATTATTCTCTAGAATCCTCTACGTATAATCAAGGGAAAGAAATATTCAAGTACAAATGATAGGTCTGTGTGCTTTATACTAAAAAGATAATGTTTATTTTTATTCTTTTGTGAATGTACAGTGAACATGGTACTTCTTCCAACATTGCCATAGGAAAAAATCTAATGGCAAGTACATGCTCATCAGATAAGGATCAAATGAACTAAGCAGAAGAAAAGAAGAAAGTGAAATGCTTTTAGCTCTGAATGTTCATAAGGTAATTTAGAACACGTAAGATGGCTTATCAGGATCTCTGTTTCATTTCTGTAGCTGTGAAAGGGTAAGAAAGAAAAAAAACCCTGCTATCTGATTGTGGCTTAAAACTCCCTAAATGATTTCTTCATAGTAATTTCAAACAAAATGCTTATAATGTAATTTTTAAATGAAAGTGTAATGGAAACAAAACTGACTTCCAAATATTTTAGGCATAAATTATATCCTATTGCTATTCCTCTCTAGCAGACCCTCCGACACCTGGATTTTGACACACATATAAATGTATATTGGTTATTTCTGATTCAAGTAGATGTATATACACACACGGCACTGAGTTTTGAAGAGTCTCTTCAATCTATACAGTGATAACTGAGATGTGTTGCTTACTGGAAAAGAAGAAGCGAATACCCAAATAGAGCTGTCGTATTTGTCATGTGTTCTGCAATATGTGCAGTTCAAAGTCAACTGGGTGCCTCTTCCATAGTATGTGGGAGGAAATCCCAAGTGCTTGCTTCTCGAGGACTTACTTTACAAGTAGAATTCAGGGACCTTTTACAGCACGTGTCTCTGGGTCCAGCCTTTGGAGCCCATCCAGGGGAGTCTGCACGTGCATGATCTCCACCTCTACCACCCACAGTGACAACCGCCACCCAGACATGAAGCCCAGCAAGACTCCATCGCCTTCGGTGTGTGTAGTCAGTTCAGGGATTTCCAAATTCTCAACCAATCGTCTTCCTAAGATTAGGAGCAAAACTGCGGCACGAAATAAGCTTAGCAGAGACTTTCCCCTCTTTTAGAGTCCTTATAGAGAGTGTAGAAAAGGGGCACAGAGCCAAGAAATTTCCCCACTAATATACAAATGATACTACACAAGTTCATCAATTAATCCTAAAGCCTATAGACATGCATGACAAGTCTGCCTGGAAATAAATAAAAATGGTCATCAAGGGTCTGTGTCCAATCGTAGGATCAACAGTAAATAAAGAGCCTGTTTTGCTCAGAGCTCAGTATGTGAGATGGGAATTTATGCAGCACTCAAACAAAAACTGTGTAACATGTCATCTACTCACCCCTGCAAGGCTTTCTCTCCAAACCAATCTCCTTTCCCTAAAGTTCGAAGAAAGACCGGGTCTTCACTGGGTGAGTCTTCCCGAGTGACATTTACCTACAAAGAGAAACAAAGTCTATATCCACTGCACACACTGACTGATCAGATCAACACTAATTGGTAATGTTAATTCCATTTCTTCTTTCTTCTTTTAAACTTACTTTCATGAAGACCATGAGGACATTATTACTGAAAGGACCAAAGAAGAAAATCACAAATTTCCATACAAACCACAAGAAATGCCCTCCAATATTGTTATGCTGTTTCCAGCTGTTTTCAAGTAGTCATAAATTACTCAGAAACTTGAATTTCACTTAATCCTCATTCCGACCTATGAGGCAAGCACTCTAATGAATTAAGCGAGCATTCCTATCCATCCAACTCCTTATAGATGGATGTTTAAATTGTTTCCATTCTTTTCTGCAGTGAGCATCCTTCTACGTACCTCGCAAGCATGTCCTCATTCCTCTAAGACAATGCCTGTCTCTTTTTCCTAAGCATCCAGCCTCCATTCAAAGGTTATTCACATGTTCATGAAGTCCTCCTTACAGGTCTAACCCATGACAGTCTGACATGTGTCATTCAGAAGGATTTCATTTTTTAAAGATCTAAGAATTGCATGTATATCTTTTTCCTTCTTTACCGTAAGAGTGTGCTCTTCAAAGACGGGTTTATCTTTGACGTTCTCTACAATTTATAATAAGCACCTAAAAGAGCTGTAAGGTGTTGGAACAGAAAAGCTTTATTACCCAAACAAGGTATCTGGGCCCATAAGGACTTTTGACTTGGGTAACAGTCCACGGAAGGAAAGTAATAATGTTTTTGTTGCATGAATGAAGAATAAATTTAGTAAGTTGTACCTTTGTACAACTTACTTCTCCCCTTCACTTCCCCTTCAAGTTCTACTAATATTCATAATACTGGCTATGTTTCTTCTAAAATGGTTAAATAGTTAAAACTCACCTACCTGGAAAATGTAATGAAGTAGAAAAAACTAATTTCTTAAGACAATGCCAGACACTTTAGCACATTTAAAAATACTATGCTTCAGGTTTCTGAGTTTAGAGAATGGATGACAAAGACCAGACTTTTTATAAGCATTAAGAATGCATGTGCAAGGTGGAGGGAATTCAATTATTATTCTCCACTGATCCATTTGATTACTTTTCCACACTGTGTTTCAAACCATGGGTGTGCAGTTTTTAACCCTCTTATACCAAGCTATATCATAGAGATGCTCATTTGCATGCTGATGAGGCCTTTATAGATGTGGGCAGAAATACACTAGCCCACTGATTCTCAAACTTTAGGGTAAGGGGTCTTATTTAAAATAAAGGCTACTGAACTTCTTACTTGATGCATCTCCTGAGGCAAGGAAAACTAAAGCAAAAATGAACTATTGGGACTTCATCAAGATAAAGAGCTTCTGCACAGTGAAGGAAACAATCGACATAACTAAAAGGCAACCTTCAGAATGGGAGAAGATATTTGCAAATGACCTATCTGATAAAGGGTAAGTGTCCAAAATATATTAAAAAAAAACTGATGCAACTCAACACCCAAAAAACCAATAATCCAGTTAAAACATGGGCAGAAGACATGAACAATTTTCCAAAGAGGACGGATGCCCAACAGACACATGAAAAGATGCTCAACGTCACTCGTCAGGGAAATACAAATCAAAACGACAATGAGCTATCACCTCACACCTGTCAGAATGGCTAACACCAACAACACAAGAAACAACAGGTATTGGCGAGAATGTGGAGAAAGGGGAACCCTCTTGCACTGTTGGTGGGAATGCAAACTGGTACAGCCGCTCTGGAGAACGGTATGGAGGTTCCTCAAAAAGTTAAAAATAGAACCACCCTACGGCCCAGCAATTGCACTACTAGGTATTTACCCAAAAGATACAAAAATACTAATTCAGAGGTATACGATGTACCCCAATACTTATAGCAGCATTATCAACAATAGTCAAATTATGGAAAGAGCCCAAATATCCATCGATTAACGAATGGATAAAGAAGATGTGGTATACATATACAACAGAATATTCCTCAGCCATCAAAATGAATGGAATCTTGACATTTGCAATGATGCAGATGGAGCTAGAGCGTATTACGCTAAGCTAAATCTGTCAGAGAAAAACAAATACCATTTGATTTCACTCCTAGGTGGAATTTAAGAAAAAAAAAAAAAAAACAGATGAACAAGGGGGGAAAAGAGAGAGGCAAACCATAAAAGAGACTCTTAATGATAGAAAACTGAGGGTTGCTGGAGGGGAGGTGGGTAGGTGATGTGTTAAATGGGTGATGGGTATTAACGAGGGCACTTGTTGGAATGGGCGCCTATGTAAGTGATGAATCACTAAATCCTACACGTGAAACTAATTACACTATGTTAACTAACTAGAATTGAAATAAAAACTTGGAAGAAAAATAATATAAAGGAGACTCTTATTCTTGAAGTTCTAATATAGTGGGACTGGGAAATCTGTATCTGAAAGATTAATATAGGTGATTTAGATGCAAATGTTTTGTAGACCAAACTCTGACACACATCAATTCATTGTTTTATTTCTGGGCTTCAGTTTCCTCATCTGTGCTATGCGGCAACCCAAGAAGATTATTTGTCCGTCCTTACTACTAAAAAAGTCATGAACTGAGGTGTAATATACTGTAAGATCATGAATTCAAAATTGGATATAAGGATACATTATATAATTGTACATTTGCCATCTGGTTACCAACAACAAAAATGATTAGAAATTCCAAATGGCAGACTTACTTATGCAAGGCATGGGGAGATTTCAGCAGCTTTGGAAATATTCTTTACAAAGATATTATTGAAATTCAGTAACAGAGCCATAAAAAGTGGGCCACCTATCGAACAGACCACTTTCTGCTTACATGACGAGTGCGAAGGAAAACCTATCTGGATAACCCATGTATGTGAAAAGATAAGCAGTTCAAAGAGCAAAAATAAAAGGTTTCCTTTAAGGTTGTAATTTCCACACTGTTTCTTTGTACATATAATGAATCATTCTGAATATGCACAGACACCTGGCATGGACATTTGCATCTTTAATTCTAAAAAAAAATGTCAGGGTAGAGAAGTTACGTACAAAGAGAGCCTCTCTGACCTTGGCCTATATTACTTATTCTTTCCCTGAAACCACAGGGTACTTTATGATCCACAATGCTATGGGAAAGAACTAGCTTTGGAGCCCTAAAGAGAATATTCGGTCTGTTTGAACCACTGTTACCTCATCACCTTGTCCAAAAAACGGGAGAGTTATCACAAAAGAGGGTGTATATGTGCACAAATCAAATGAGAAAAATCTATGAAAACCATCCTCTTAAGAATAAGTGCTTGGGGCGTGTGGGTGGCTCAGCCGGTTGAGCATCTGACTCTTGACTTTAGCTCAGGTCGCGATCTCAGGGTCATGAGATCGAACCCTGAGTTGGGCTGCCCACTCAGCAGGGAGCCTGCTTGATTTTCTCTCTCTCCTTTGGCCTCTGCCCCTCCCCCTGCTTGTGTGCATTACCTCAAAAACAATACAACTCTACAAAAAAATAGTAAGTGCTCAAAAAAGCTGGTTACTTCTTCTATATTCCACCCCCCCTTTCTTCTACTTCCCTCACCTACTTTGGAAATTCATGCATTTCATTGTAAAAGAAATATCCCCTATCACTATTAGTGCTCTCCCATTGTTCCTATAAATGCTATTTAGAGCATAAACTTCTTTTCCTTAAGACAGATAAAAGAGAGTGTGTATTCTTATGTCTTTTTTACTTATCTATATGCTAACTTCTTTTCTGTAAGACGTGTGTGTAGTCTTGTAATTCGAGTTTTTTTAAAACTATTTGTAATTATACGTATAATTTAAAAAATTAACATTAAAATAAAAATTATATCTTTTTAAAAGGACGTATAAAATTGATCTTTGATACCAAAGTCTTCAATAAACAAAATCAATGTGCACAACCAACATGTTTAATCAAAAACGATTCAAAAGAAAAGAAAATGTTTTAGTACAGATTCAGTGGATTTTATAAACAAAGCAATGTTTATTGTAAAAAAAAAAAAAAAAAAGCCTGGAATTTACAGATTTATGGGGAAGACCCAACTACAAAATGAGGGTTAGTGAGGTAATCATTTTCCTACCTGTGCGACTATTAGCTTACAAAACCCAAGGAGTCCCCAAAACAAAGCAGTTCCCCTTCCAAACAATGTTCTGCACATATCACTCAAAAATGGGTCCTGTTATTCCCAAATCAAAATGCCTCCTGAAGCAGAATGAGGACACTTTAGGTATCACGTAGTTTGGGACATGTCTTGGGTAGGAATGTTTTTTTTTTTTTCTGAACTTGAAGCTTGCCTGTATTCTTTGAGTCATGAGTTAAATTCAGTGTGGGCGAGATTTATGATTCCTAAGGGTCTGATTTGACAAGTGAACCCTCTGTGTGACACAGGAGTAAATTAGAGTCTCTTTCTACCATGTGTCCTAACCCATGCCCCCAACATGTCTGCCGTGAGTCTCATGTTTGCGATCCCCTTTCTAATGTTTGCAATTTAATGCATGTGCCTATATACACTCACATCTCATTCCATGCCTGAGTACCACATATTTGACTGTTTTTGAGCTTTATAAAAATAACAGGATGCATGTTCTTCTGCAACGTGCACCTTTTGATTGGTATTGTATTTGAGATTTACCCAATTCTTCCATGTTTACATACATAACTGTAGTTCATTTCCTCTCTTTGCACATTATCCCATTGTATGAATATATTTTACATATATTTATAGATATTACATATTATATAATTCATTAATTCCTCTAGAGATGTCACTGTGTCTCTTTTAGATTTAAATATCTAATTACTGTTCTAATTACTGTTCTATCTCTTCATTTCCAGATACTGGTACAACTTATGTATCAAGAGAGTACATTTTTTTGATGTAACACAGCTACAGCTTTTATCAAAGATATTTTTCTTTGCTCTGTTGTGAATTCTTGGAGGTTTATACTTCACTGCTGGGGGAAGGAAACGTCAAGTTTCCAGGCAACTGGGATATATAGAGAACTAACTCAGCTTCTAGATGAGTCCTTTAGACATCACTGCAAGCATGGCACCCAAGTTGTAAAAAATCATGTTGTGTAGGTTTAAGGGGGGGGGGAAATAAATATTTCAGAGTTTTTCTCTGTGTGCATGTGCTTCACAGGAGAATAAAAACAGTTTTACACGTCAATAAATGTCTTGAACTGGGGAAATCCATTGGTAATTCTAGCCACCTGTTGTGTGTCTTACAACATGTTCTAAGGAAAAGCCAGTTCAGTGGAAACAAGGAAATCATCTTCTCCAGGATTATCCTTCATAAGTTTTTAAATGTATATGAAAACAAATTTACGTCTGTATACCTAAAGCAAAGCATATAGCTTAAGAAAATTCCAGTTCCACAACTTATTTGCCTGCTTACTTGAAGGCACTCTTGTTACTTTTCTCTCCTCTTCCTTCCACTGGGACTTAAGCGTGTTCATCTCCTGCTTCTTAGGATTCCAATATATGTGTAACGGAATTAATAGAATTAATATACCATCTATTATTTATCATATAATTAATATAATTAAAAATCATAGCAGCTAAGTTGTATGACATGAAAAACTAGCCCTAGAAAAATCTATGGCTGGTTTAAAAAAAAAAAACACACATCCTGAGTGTGTCGAAAGAGTCTAACATATTCTTACTACTTGTCTCCCAGAATCCCCATGGTGCTCTGAAACACTGCCAAGGGAACGGGTTCCTGTGGTGTGTTTCCTCACTGTTTCCATTTATACATATTACAAAACTCATAAAGCAGCACCACTAATGCACCCGTTTGCAACTGAAACTGGTTACAAACAGCAGCTTCTTTTAGGTAGTGCTTGAAATTTACAGTAATGGGGTAATCACAAAAGTCTGTCAGAAATTCATCTTAAAGGGATAAATGTATCATTCCATGATAGCAAAGGATTAGCAGTGTAATAAAGAAAAAAATAAATCCAGATTGTCAGGACAAAAAAAATCTCCCTGTGACCTACTGAATCATTTATATACATGAGGATTTTCAATTTCCCTGATTCTTTAGTAAGTGTTAAGAAATAAAACAGCAAATAGTAAAGCTCCAACACTTTAAACACAAACCACAAAATGTTAAGGTTCCTTAGCCTCTAACATTGGAAAATTCAAAATACAGTCTTAAGTGTAACTGTGGCCAGTCAGGTCATTTCTTGATGTGTGTAAGAGGCAGGCGCCTGACGTTTCTCTGTATCCCAGGCTTTCTGCTCTCAGTCAGGAAAAAAAAAAAAAAAAAGTATGAGACAAGCACAAATAATGCTGTCTTCACTTTAGTGTGACAGGTCATTGGTGTAAACACTGACACATTCTTGATTCAAAATCAGTCCAGAGAGGATTATCGAAAAGGTGATCCAACCAGATTTACAATCTTTCACCTACTCTATTCACTGAGGCTCTGTACATCTCTCTTTACTATTTCAGTATGAACTATAAAGTCCCAGAGTCAGTCATATTTGTTAAATTAGAAGAAACAAACTTATTCACATTTTAAAAAACTATTTAACATTTTTATTTACTTTTTAAATTCTCTCTACGCCCAACATGGGGCTTGAACTCAGGACGCTGAGATCAAGAGTCACGTGCTCTACCAATGGAGCCAGCCAGGTGCCCCTAAACTAACATTTCAAAGAACAATTATAAAAATGAAAACTGCTGTATAAATCCCCTTCTACTGGCATTTCCTTTCCTATTGCTTACTATACTTAGTACCTACAAATTCCTCTTAAACATCCCTTAAGATGAAGCAAAATAAGTTCTATTAGTCATAGGGCAAGGACACTTAAACACAAAAATGATGATGACTTCACTGCTGAAAGAAGGGAAAGGTATTTTTTTAGAGTATTAGAGCGTTCATCTACACAAATCCCCATTTTCCAATTTACTTAATTTATTATTTCATTTTTAAATATAAGTTAAAAGACTTATACTGATAACTGAAAAAAATATAAAGGGATAAATTATGATTTTTCATTCCTATCCCTGGGTTCACCCCCTATTTATCCCTTCCCCTGTAATTTACCCCTGCTAATAGTTTCTCAGTATCCATTCAACATTTCTTTATGAAGACACAATAAGACATGAGTGTATTTATACCTTTGTTGTCCTCAGAGTGCTAAGCAACTTGTCTAAGGACACTGAGGCTTGTAAGTTTCCTAGTGGGATTCACACTTGGGCCATCTCATTTCAAAGCCCAGGTGTTTCAAGATAGCAGTATTACTGCTCCTAATCACTAGGGGGAGTTTTGGGGGGGTGGTTGAGTTTTCTTTTCCTGTTGAGAATTTTTTAAGCGACCTTAGTCTATAATTTATTATAGAAATTATGGAAATCTTCCCATTTATGCAGACATATCAGTGGCACCTTGCACCATGGTTATTAAATTACAGAACAGAGGCTATTTTCTGATCTTCAGAGTTACAGTTTTTCTTCCTCCGACATCATTTTTGGGAGATCCATTCTCAAATATTTCTCTCTCAAGACCCTGTGCGTGTGCATCTCCAGGGGTGGCTGATGCACCCCAGGACCCCGCCCCACTGCGTATCACCCTCATGCTGCCGGGGCTTACCGTTCCTTTGCTGATGATAAAGAAGGTGTCCCCTCTTGCACCTTGTCTGATGATATATTCCCCATTCTCATAGTGAGTCTGAAAAATAGAAACAGCAACAGAAAAAAAAAAAAACATTAAGAAAGGAGTAATATAACAAAAGCTCAATCTCTTCAAGTATCAGCCCTGCAGGGATGCATTCATCCTGATGGAGTTTTACCCAAGCCCAGAATCCATTATGATTTAAGAATGAGTAATAGTCAATGAACGAAATAATTACAGAGAAATCATTTTTATCACACTCATGTTTAAAACTATTTTGTTACTGCCATTTTTTTCTGGACGATCATATTCAGATCTTTACATTCATTCATTTTAATAGTTGGGTAAAAATATTCTTTTCTCCCATCAACTGAGCATAAACTAAAACAGCAGAACGCTAATTAAACTGGTCTTTTAATAATATTTTATTTGTCATTTTCATTTTCTTTCAGTAGTCTTGTAATGATTGATAGGCTTTTTTTTTCCTTGAGAAATTATTGTGGCATCTCAAGATCTTCATTTTGAAACCAGGATGATTTCTGGTGTGCGTTAGATGGCCCTAGTTACTTTTTAAGGCACAGCTTCATGCTTTAACGTTCTTGTTTCAGCAATTTAGGTTTGGCCCTGTCAGACGGAATGTCTTCATTTTATGGACTGAATTCTGGTCCAGCATCTGCGAGCTCATCAACTAGCAAATGAGAAGCAAGGGAAGGCTGCAAGAGGATGATCACAGTCAGTGCTAGGATGTGGACACAGTCACTAGGCCCATTCCCAGGGTAAAGATTACTTCTGCAATGAACAAAAGTAATTTCTCTAAGGCGACATGGGGGAAAAAAGTATATTGCTGGGTCAGGAGATATAACAGAAAAATGAGACTGTGCCATCTGGCCACATTCTTCTCTGCAGTTTAGCAAGGGAACCATTTTTGGGGAAAGAAAACATTACTTTACACACTCCTTAGGAAACAGATTTTATGGTTTGCATGTGGCAGTTATGAGGCTAACAGCTGTGATTTGTCCTTATACTTCAATACCATGTTCCTTAACACTGTTGTCAACGCCTTAATACTGTTGTCTATTCACTGTTGACATTGCCTTTTGTTAGCACTTGACACTGAGAACAACCATCTCTTTCTTTGCATATCTAGAAAATTAACATACTACCTAATCTTACCTTTTTTTATTCATAACAAGTTTTAAAACTAGGATTATAGAATGCATATTCTTCAACTGATTTATTTCACTTAACAAGATACCCATGCTCCCCTGTCACTTCTTGCTATTTGGGAAGGGAAAGATCTTTAGTACATGCAGGTGTGAAAAGCAACGATCACAAGAGTCTTCTTTCCTGTATCAGTTCCACAAACATCTCTGTGTGCCTCTGAGTCAGGCCTGGCTGTAGGCACTGATGATACAAAGACGGGATACAAAAATCTCAAAGTAGCACCTTCCACTGGACCTTTCTCCGAGGGTGTCAATGGTCGATAGCCACACCGTCCAATACAGCAGCCTCTAGCCACATGTGGCTACTGAACAGTAAAATGTGGCCAGTGTGATTAAGACACCACACATTTAGCTCATGGCCAGAAGCTACTGTATTAGCATAGGTAGTAATAAGGCAGACAAGGGAGGAGTTACAATCTGTACTAGTAGGGTAGGGGGCAGGCTGGAGCATCGTTCCCCACTCTCCATGAACGGAGCTCCATTAGTAAAATTCAGGACCTCTCTCTTCCCCTCCCCACTCTGCACACCAGAGGAGGTGGTATGGCTTACCTGGCTGGTGCATTTGGAAGCCATCAGCTAGGTACGGTCGCCTTAGCCCCTAGTCTCTGTTGTGGGGGTGAGCTCCCCACAGAGGCAGACATTCTCCGCGGCTTCTCCAGGGGAAGCAGAATGAAGCTGCCTCTGTTGGGCCTTTGCCCCAGGGCAGGTAAGTATGTCCACCCAAATACAGGCCCAGTTTGGGAAGGCTGTTTGGCTCTGACACCTAAGCCACACTCCCTAGCCTTGATTTTTTATCATTAGTAACAACAATATTCTATTAGTTCCATTTACCTTAGTCTTTGTCATATTTCTCACTTGTTTCCAAATCAAAACCTCTCAAAACCCCCCAAATAATCAAGTGTGCGAGCTCTATTTTATGTCGGTAGGGCTTATGTACTGTCTGTTGTATTGTCTCACTCTTTCCCCGGCTTCCCCATGGAGGAGATTCTTAAGCCCCAACAGAAGTGTGAGGAACAAGTTACAGGATGTTGAGCAGGAGAAAGGCTCTCCGAAAAGAAGAGAATTAGCAGCTTACTATGCCCACATATTAGCAGCAGAAATACTATTATTTTGGAAAAAGTAGAAAAATACAAATAAAAAACACCCAACATGGAAGAATCCTGAGCTCATCTGAATGGCTCATTCTTCTCACTTATCTCCTTAAAAGCATATTCCTACCCAAAGATTGTCATTTCCTTTTAAAAAACCAAAATTATTTGTACTATATTAAAAAGTACGAAGGTAAGGGTTTCTCAGGCACACCACCACTGACATTTTGAAGCAGACAATTCTCTGCTGCTGGGAGCTGTCCTGGACATTCAGTTCAGCTGTAGGATGTTTAGTGGCTTCCGTGGCCTCTACCCACTCGATGCCAGTAGCACTTCCAGTCCCAGTTGTGGCAACCTAAAGTGTCATAAGACATTGTCAATTAACCTGTAGGGGGCAAAACTGCTCCCAGTTGAGAATGTTTGCCATAAATCTTTTGTGGTTCTCTGGACGTGAAATAGCAATTTATTATTTCTCTTGATACTGTGTGCTAGATGATTCTGACTTCCCACGGTGTCAGCTTGGATCAGTGAAAAGTCTAATGCCTCACTCTTGGGGTGAGCATTTGGTGCTGGTCTCACACCCATGACTGTCAGCTTCTATGCTCCTCCACATGGGCCTCCCCCTGGGGCTGCTCAGTCTCCTCCATAGCAAGGTGGTCTGGGGGAGAGCCACCCTCTTACACGGCAGCTGGCTTCCAAGGGTGCAAAAGTAGGAGGTGCCAGGCTTTCCCAAGGCTCAGACTGTGCCCATGGGCACTGAAGCCCCACAGAGGATGCAAGGCACTAACAGCTACTGCTCTTTTGCTTCGCGGACCTTGCCGCCTGCCTCCTTCCCTTGCATTATGTCTATTCTCTTCACACCTCTTTTCCTGATGTTCCTTGAACACCCAGACCCATCTCAGGGCCTCTGCACAGGCTCTGCCCAGTGCCTGAGATGTCCCTGCACCCCAGAGAGCTCAGAAGGAGCTATCTCGGGACAGGAAGGTTCACAGAGGGCTGAATGACAGGAGCATGGGCATCAAGGAAGGCTGAAGGTAAAGCAGGATTATCAGATTCTGCTGAGAGCTGGGGCCGTGGCTTCTGAGAAGGAAGGATCCACTGCCAACCCCAGCCTAGTTCAGAGAGAGCCTGACCTCTCTCTTCTCTACCCTCTGGTATCCCACTGGGGCTCCCCATTGGCTGAGTTCAGCTGAAAGGGGACAGGGGAGTCCTCCCATTCAGGTCAGCTTCTGGACAGAAAGAAGGACCCAGGAAAAGTGAAAAGCAGGCTTGGGAGCAGGTGAACTGCATCAGCCCCATGGTTAACAGATCATTCACTCACTTCTCAATCATCTCCTCCACTAGAACATCAGCTCCACGAAGAAATTTTTATGTTCCCTGTTGTTCCCCTGCACTGAGAAGAGCACCTGGGTGTTCTCTAAACATTCATCAAGTAAATGGCTTACATGGTAGAGGACATTGAGTGCCCCGCAGAGCAAGGGCTCTCTGCAGGTTTGCCCTCAGGAGATGGGTCCACTGCTCCAGGCATCAGAGCGGGGTCAGAGGCAGAGAAGGGCAGCCTCTCATCTTACAGCACCTTCTGGGGAAGGAGTGCCAAAAGCCCTGGCAACTGTCCCCATAGGTCTCCTTTGAGTCGCATGTCCACTCTTAAACGAATGCCTGGCAAGACGAATTTGGAATACTCCAAATGGTTTTCATTTCTCAAGATCACTCCATGGTGCCAGCAAGAAAACCACTCAAAGGAAACCAAACCTCCAGCAGCGGGAAAATGGGAAGGAAGGACTGCAGAGGCACCCAAGAGCGTATCTACTTCATGGACTGACCCAAGAGTCTCCGGGGGTCAGGACCAAGACCTGGGTGGGTGTGGAAGAAGGGCGGATAAAAGTGGGGTGCTACAGCAAAAGAAACAGTCCACAAAACCAAAAGACAACCGACAGAATGGGAGAAGATATTTGCAAATGACATATCAGATAAAGGGCTAGTATCCA